ATCGCCGACTTTTCGCAGTCTGCCTCAGTCCCCCAACAGCCTGCGCGGCCCTTGGTAACCCGGGCGACGGTCGAGCCGGTATAATTTTCGAAGCCGTCAGTACCATGAGTGGCAGGTGGCTGAGTTTTACGGAGGTTTGCCATGGTCTCCAACCTTCCTCTCTCATCCGGGCTTGCGACTCTCAACTGCGGAGTTAATCGATCCTAACACATTTATTAGGTAACGGAAAAATCTTTATCTATCAATCGAAATTTTCGCTTGTTGCAGTCATACTTTGTCAAAGTCGGTAATGATTTAAGGCGAGGTTCATGTACCGATGAAATCCTAGAGTAGTGCAGCGCTAATTATAGTTTTTTGTATAAGTATCTCTAGTTAGTTGATCATCCAAAGATGTATGGCAATTAATTTCTGTATAGATAAGCAGAGTTTTTTAGATGGCTGCTCGCAGAACCAGTGGTCCATTGCGGCCAAGGCCGCTGATCCTTAATCTTAGTTTTAGTCATGAATTTAGTCAGAATAAGTTTAATTTGTCATTTCCACATTGAAATTAATACATATCTTTTGATTCTTGGTCCAGAATATAGAGCCTCAGTTTCCTGGACCGACCAAGTTGCATTCAAGAGCAGTCAGTGAATCATTTTCGATGACCGCTTATCCTTTCGGGTCGCGAAGGCAGACCAGACCATTCAGTATCTCCAGCTTTCCAGATCCTGTGACAGCGATTATAGAAGGTAGGCCCCGATTGTGGAGCACAGTCCTTAGATACACTTGTCCCAGGTCACCTTTTGCCGACGCCAGGCTCTTAGACCGGTCGGTTGAGCAAGTAGTAGATGTTTCGACTGCTTTTCTGAAAGCAGTCGTAAAACATGCTCAAACTACCGCAGCAGTAATGCTCAATATTGTTTTATCAGCCTGATTATAGTGTTAAACAGTGACAAAACAGTGAAGATATGTGCACATTGTATTTAAGTCAAAAGCGAAGGGTACAGTGTTCGAATACACCAGTCAAGTGCCAATGGAAAATGACAAGGAACAGAAGATGACTAATTTTGGTAATTATGTAGACAATTTCTGTCTGACTGAGATCCAGCAAGGTAATGGGTTTTAGTAGCTGAGTTTGTAATTGTCATATTCATCACAGTAGGCTTTAATAAATACCATTAATGTATTAATGGGCCGATTATGGTACTGTTCCAGTATAGGATTTTGGTTTGTCAACTACCAGTGGTGTGAGGCTTTTCTGTGACATGGTTTAGTTTTGCAAAGTAGTCAAAACTAAAACACCCAAAAATGAATGGAGATTTCCCTTATGTTCTGAGACAGCTACCAAGAGTAGCAGCTTTCCGATTCTGCCAGTAGATACAATTTTTTAACTACTGATACCTGATTTAAATGGCGAAAATCGTATAGTTTGCAGCGATATTGCGATGGCGTAAGACGCGTGGTATTCATTACAGCAGAGTGTACCGAAGTAATACACTGTACCATTGCTACCCGTCGCCTAGGAGACCTTAAATACCATGGAACGATGGCCTGCTTAAATAGTCTACCTATGCAGCTGGAAACAAAGTTAAAACCTGGGCTAATGACTACCATCCGTCTGACGGCACGGTCAATAACCTGAAAGTTTTCAAACCTAGTATCTGTAGTTAAGGGACTATAACGTACCATTTTAAAAGATTAATTCAGATTTCTATTTAGTTGTTTATTTTTTTCTATTTAGTGTTGATTAACACAAGAAATGTAACGTTTTAAATCTTCCGTTTGTTGATTCATGGTTTGTGTTTGTGCCCAACTACAGCAAAATCTTCAACGAACGGTTTGCTATTGTGAGAATTAGTAACATCTTTAAGGTACATACATACTAACCACAAATTATAAACGTGCATATGTAGGTGTCGAA